CTCCTTTTTCAACAGAGTGCTTTTCTGGCATCTTCCTGACTCGTCTTTTGAAGTGCTCACCACAGATGCCCTACCATAAACATAGCCTCCGGCTTTGTTACTACCAGCCTTTCCTGTGTGATTTTCAGGGAGATTGGCAGCATGGCAGGAGCCCACTTCCATATGTAAATAAGGGCATCCCACAAAGTACTTATCAGCTAAGGCTTTTACCACTGCCCCCACAGTTTAAGTTTCCTGGTTTTCCCTCAATAATTGAAGCTGAGTCACCAAAGCTAGAATTGGAGCTGATCACCAAGACTTGGAGCCGAGCAGAGTCACTGAATGTACCACTGAGACTGAGCTGAGTCCCGTGTCTTACTGCCTATGATCCAGCCTTCCCGGAGAGAGCTGTCTCTTCGTAAGCCGACTCATGGACACCTAACTTTAGCCGCCCCGCTCCTTCCTGTGTGATCCAGCAGCCAGTGGATTTCGCATCTTGAGGAAGTGCACGGGTGAAATTAGGGTGGAACCCGGCCGGGCAAGCCCCGGCAGCAGAGACCCACAGAGAAGCGGCGGACAGCGATGCGGTGCGCGACCAGACCCGCCGCTCCAGGGTGCACGCAGGGGACCGGTGCCACGAGATCCCCGTGCGCCCCATAAACACTGGTTTAAGGCCCTCTCACTATCACCTCTGACTAACATCTGCTCCTTTCTTGGATGTGTAGAGCTTCACCCACACAGCATCAGATGCCAAAGAAGGTGTCTAGACTGTTCAGAGCCTGGAAAGTTCGCTCACCTTCACTAGCAGTTACCAGCAGGGACTTGAACCACATTGTCAGGGACCTGAACCATACCAACCATTTCAAAGGCATATCCTTTCTTTGCCATGCTCACTTAAGAGCTCTCAACTCTGAGCTCTTTAAACAGGGAACATGGAAAATCAACTGTGGAGACAAATCATTACAAGTGCTCTCAGGGCCCATTTGCATATTTCTTTAGCTTCTGAGATTAGGGAGCAAGTACATAGGGAAGTTCAAAATGCCGAAGAATGCTTGGTTTCCCTGGCTGTCCCACTTTTCTGCTTAAGCCTTTCAGTACACAGGCGGTGGATAATAACTGATGCTCTGATCTCTGTTCAAGATCAACAGTGGATGAGTAAATGATGAACCAACTCTACAAGAAAGGAAAAAAAAAAAAAAAAACCACTTCTCCCAGAAAGCATGGTATATAGCAAGCACTAGTCACCACTGGCTTATAGCCAAGGAACTGATGCCTGGGTCTATGCAGAGCCACAGGATTGGGGCTGATGGTATTTTGAATCCCCAACACCCCTTCTGCTTTGGGTGACTGGAGAACCACTCTTCTACCTCAGCATTCCCCTCTATCGAACCCTTTCTTCCCTCTGTGCCCTGAGTCTGCCACCTGACTCACACAGCCCTTCCATTCAACATGTGTGCTCATTAGGCCTGTAATCCAACAGGCCTGAGCAATCCTGCCAGGTAGTCTGTCTATTCTTCTGGCTGGGCAACTTGAACATTTCATGATTACAGAAGGCATTTGAGGAGATGTTGTTTAGAATTCTAATTAACATAATTATCCATTCAAACTCCATTCAAACAAAGCAGGCTTTGACAAAGCAGATTATATAATTTCAAAATTATATTATACATTAGTCCTATTGCACTATGAAGTTGCAATAGGACAAAGCAAGTGAACATAAGCACATAAGATGGAAAAGGACAAAAACACCATTCAGCCAGTAGACATTTACTCATCGCTCCTTCACTACCGACACAGGTCTTGGTTTTATTTTGGTATTGGGGGTTGAACCCAGTGCCTCACACTTTCTAAGCACAATTTTACCACTGAGCCACTTTCTCAGTCTGTGGATACTGGTCTTGACATGGGACTCAGAAAAAGCCTCAGAAATGCCTCTTATGTTATACCTTAGCCTTTCTTGACCCTCAGCTTTTTTTTAAATTAAACTTTAAAAAAATTTTTTATGTGTATGCGTGTATTGCCTGCATGTAGGTAAGTGCACCCATGAGGCTATCAGATCCCCTGCGACTGGTGTTACGGACAGTTGTTAGCTGAGGAAGTGCAAGAGTGAAATTAGAGACCCACAGAGAAGCAGCGGAGAAGCAGGGACCCGCCAGAGAGCCAGCAATGCAGACATGCTGTGGGACCCGCCGCCGCCTCAGCACCCCAGGGGCGGACAGTGACGTGGTGCGTGAACAGACCCGCCCCTCCAGGGTGCACGCAGGGGACTGGTGCCATGGTAGTAGCTGGTGCCCCAAGATCCCTGCGCACCCCATATCTGGCGCCCAACATGAGAGCCTCTGAACCCCATGCCAGCGAACAACTCTTCTGCAAGAACAACCAGTGTTCTTAACTACTGAGCCATCTCTCCAGCTCCGAACCTCAGCTTCTTACCCTGTAAAATGAGAACAACTGCCTCTAATCTTAGGAGCTAATGGGCATACTCCTTTTAGCTCAGCATCAAGCATGTTGTGTGATAAGGCAAGTACCCAGTGATGCCAGAGCCCCTGCCTCCCACCTCTGCTACAGCACGGCACAGCCCTGGTAGACTTGGTTGCCATACTGCCAAGGAAAGGGAGAAACCTCAAGGATGGCTTCAGGACCTTATCTCCATGTCTTAGGGAGCTGGGGTGGTGTGGGCTGAGGCCATCAGACACCACGCAGTGTGGTGGGATGCCTGATGCTCTTAGCCCCCCTGGTTACTACTATACTCAGGCAGAGTCCTGGGGAAGTCTCCTCATAGCAGAGCCTCTACAGATGGACTACAAGCTTGCAGAGGGCAAGCCCACCTAGGTTTCTGCTCACGGTGGGCCTCCCAGGCCTAAGTACACAAGCAGGGACTGAATAAACAGTTCTGAGCAAATGACAAACCAGAACAGACCCCATCTTTCTATTTTTGTTTGACTGTGAGCTCAGAGCTGGCCTCAGAGGAGGTGAAGTGCCTAAAAGGCACTTCTGGGTAGGGGCCATCAAGCAGAGAGACAGACCATCACGGAGCTGCTCCATGTCATCATCAAACACCGCCTCCTTCAGAGCTGTCTTGTCATAGGTGTTGATGGTGTCAGAGTAGGGATATGGGTTGTACTCCCGCGCTCGAGGTCCTGGGAAGGCGCGTGGAGGCTGTGTATTGAGCAGGGAGGTCTTATTGTCCAGAGCTGTCCTGCCTCCTTCCACCTCTCCACCTCCCCGGCCATCTGTGGCAGGTGAAGCTGCTCCGCCATCACGGGACACCTAGAACACAGCACACTGTCAGTTCACTCTAGGACTCGCAGCACACTTTTTCTTTCAATGCTCAGAAATCTTAGAAGGGCCAGACATTTCCATCTGAAACCTCGTCACTGACAAAAGGATTGTTACTGATATTTCAAACTGAACAGAGCATGCCCACATCAGTGTCTGCTCATCCATCTATGTAGTCAGTGAATCTATTTCTTCATCATTTCATGAGTTTTCTGAGGGATTAATACCACACAGTTTGAAAAGCTCTTGAAAAGGAAGGCCTATGTCCTCTACTGCCTGTCTTGAGGAGCCTGGCTGTGGACCATTTCATGTGGCCTCTGGCTCTGATGCCAACAGTAAGGGCTTCTTGATGGTACCTTGGTAATATCCCTATGGAGAGAAGCTCCCAGAGTGCCACCTCAGAGCCTAAAGCACTCTAAACATCCTGGAATCAATCAATTCCTTGTATATATTCATAAGGGTGAAGCCCAGTACATACTTTCTAGGCAAAGATCACTCTTCCATTCTTTGGCTGCTTGGTACTAAATTTTGTGGGTCCCCCCTCCCCCATATCTTCCCAGAGAGTGAACTTCATCAATGAAAGCGCTGCTCCCGTAGTCTCGAGCATGATTCTGAGAGCCTCTCTCTCAGGCCTCAATCCTGGGCACATCAACCTGTCTAGTCCCTTACATGATGGCACTATGAGGTCAAGTGTGGCTAACTGCTGGCAACAGACAGACAACTGATGACAGAATGGTGATGGACTCATTTTCCAGACAACCAGACCATACTAGTGAGTCCCATAACATTGTTTTCATGTTGCTAAACAAGATACAGATCTCATTCTATGTGTACCCATTTTAGAAATCTGTGGTAAAAATACAAGTAACTTATCATTTTAACATATCATTCATAAGTGTACGATTCAATGACATTAACTATATTTACTATGTTGTTTAACTATCACCACTGTGTATACCCCAAAGTTTTCTCACTATCCCAAATAAGAACTCTGCACCTAGTAACTAACAACTCCCCCACCCCCACAAACCTCAGTTCTATTCTCTATAGATTTGCCTATGTCAGGTGCCTCATATAAAGGGAATAAGAAAACATTTGCCCTTGTATGACTGGTTTATTTCACTTGGCATTATGCTTTTAAAGTGCATCCAAGTCACATAGCACAGATCAGGTTTCCTTTCTTTAAAACTTTTTATTTATTTATTCATTTATTTATTCCTTCCTTTTTATAAGTTGTCACATTTTCTTTTTTTAGGTTATCTGAGACAGGGTCTTCCTCTAGACCCAGCTGGCCTAGAGCTCACTATGTAGACCAGACTGGCCTTGATCACACAGAGATTCACCTGCGTCTGCCTCCCAAGTGCTGGGATTAAAGGTATGCCTCATCATACCTGGCAACACATGTTTGGTTTTTTAACACCTTCATGTAAGATTTTATACTATATATAAGATACAAAGAAAGTACGTAATATTGGCCTAGATCTGAAAAAATAAAGATCGAAAAGCTATAAATTGTATTTTAATAGCACTGTCTTCTGAGAAGATAGTTCATGGATGATTTTAATACTTTTGCAACTCTCTTAGAAAACACATTACCATCATTAGCCAGGCGTG